TTTGGGGTTTAGGGATTAGGGTTTAGGGTTCAGGGTTCAGGGTTTATGGTTTTGGGGTTTAGGGATTAGGGTTTAGGGTTTACGGTTCAGGGTTTAGGGTTTAGGGTTTAGGGCTTTGGGGTTTAGGGATTTTGGGCTCCCAGAGAACTGGTCAAATCATAGATTTAACTGACACCCCTTTAAACCTGCAGGCGCAATCCGTACTCAAGGAGTATGCCTTAAATCATGCACCCCGGTGCATTCCCCGATTGATTAAAATGGTTGTTGAGCCTCTGTGGCTGGCACAGGCCCTGTTTTCCATAAGTGTCTTCGTGAGTAGAGCAGGGTTACGTATTCGTAAAACAGGTAGGGGTGATGCAGGGACACAACATAATTCTGTGTCTATGCGCTCAAGCATTCCATGACTCATTTTTCTGCTGTTCCCCAGCATTCGCCACCGTGTTCTTTTCGTAATCATCATCAACGTCATCACCATCCTCAACCCTAAACCCTAAACGCTAAACCCTAAACGCTAAACCCTAAACCCTAAACCCTAAACCCCATCACAAGCCGACCTGGCACACTCTAAACTCATGGGAACGCAAAACGAACCAGCGAACGCTGACTCCGCAAATCCTGACGAGCCCTAAGTTCCCTACTAGCCCTGAACCCCATTAAACCCTAAACCCTAAACCCTTAAAACCTAAACCCTAAATTCTAAACACTAAACCCTAAACTCCGGACCCTAAACCTACACCCCTAAACCGTAAACCCTAAACCCTAAACTCCGGACCCTAAACCTGCACCCCTAAACCCTAAACCCCAAACCCTAGACCCTAAACCTACATCCTTAAACCCTAAACCCAGGGTTTAAGGCTGAGGGTTCAGGCCCTGAGCCCTCAACGAAGGTGAATGTCTACACCATGCAGATTTGCCTTCCGAACAGAGCCTTGGTCAAGTGTTGGAAGCCTTTCTGTTTTTTTTGTGGTTAGGATTTAGGGTTTAGGGTTCAGGGTTAAGGGGGGATAAGGTGGGATTTAGGATTTAGGGTTTAGGGTTAAGGGCTTCCCGCCAAAAGGATCCTTGTTTCTTCTGAAACCCCGTGCCAAGACCCAGGTGAAGTGATGCTTGACCCCCTCTTAGGCCCGCCGAGCCTTGGGTGAATGAGAGAACTTATGTGTTGTTGCTGTTGTTCGTAAACCCTGAGTTTTAGGGTTTTGGGGATTTAGGGGTTTAGGGCTTTAGGGTTTCGGGTGTTTAGGGCTTTTAGGGGTTTAAACCCGAAATGTGGTTTTGTTATTCTTTGCGGAATTCGGAAACTTCATCTCCGGCTCTTCGAGGGTCTTGTTACATGTATCTGTTCCGACCCGCACAGTAATCCTCAAGGCGCGAAAGCGCTGAAGAAAGTAGAGGCCCGCACGAGGTCGGTTTTGGTTTTACTGTGTAGCGTTTAGGGTTTTGGGGCTCTGGCTGCTGCTAGGTCCTAAGGACTTTAGGAGGGACCCCTAATAGCGACCCTTAATCCCATTACCTTAAATAACCACTGTAGAGTCCTTACATACCCCTTATATAGCCAGGTAGTCTCCATATCAACCCCAATAACCTACAAGGGTCCCTATAAAGGGTCCTTCCTAAAGCCCCTAGATAGGTAGGTTTGGGAGGGCAGCTACTCCAATGCTAGACGGCTGAGATTGAATCCACCACTGCAACTAGCCAGAGTCCCAAAGCCAACTGTGCAAATCCTACACAATCTAAACCCCAACCCCCCCAAACCCTAAACCCTAAACCTCTAACCCCAAACCCCCCAAACCCTAAACCATAAACCCCTAAACCCTAAACCCCCAAGCCCAAAACCCTAAGCCCTAAACCAAAACCTGGAATCCAGCATCCTCGCAGTCTATTTAGAGCCCTGAAGTCTCAAAAGAAGCTAGCTTGGCAAAGTGTAATGTAGGGGCCTCAATAGTTACCTATACTTTTTTTTTTGTTTTTTTTTGGGGGGGGTTCCTGATTATAAGTATAGTATAATATACACCCCAAGCCTCATTCTATTTGTTAAGGAACCGATATTACCAGCACCACCCAACTACCCTCTATTATACCCAAAATGCCCATAAAAAAGGACCATAAGGGCTCTATTCAAGGGCACTTGGGGGGTGCTGGTAACCAAGAGGGTCCATATATACTACTATTATGGAATTAGGTCCCCAAAACCATAGTAGGGATGGTCTTTTGAGACCTAATTCCATAATGGTAGTGTATATGGACCCTCTGGGTAAGGTGAATTTCAATGGAGGGTTGAGGGCTCAGGGTTTGACGCGAGACCCGCACCTTGAACCAAATACGGGAGCTTAAGACAAGAGGGGAGCCGAACACAGAGCTTAAACTTAGGGGTGCTTAGACATGATTCTTAATCTTTGGTTACGATAAACCCTAAGAAGCAGCAAAAATCATAATTTTGCTAGGGGTCTAAGTTCAGTACAGTAAATACTAGGAAATAGCAGGGTGGTTATGATGAAGACTCATAGCAAGCTAGCCTCAGTTTCAAGCAACCTCAATACAAACCGTAGCTTATAAACTAAAGCCTGAACGTTAAACCTCAGCAGTGAGGAACATCGCGTTTGACTTCAACCAGCTGTCAGCGCTGATCAATTCCTCCTCCTTCCTGCCCAAGGATAGCGATTCCTGGCGGTACTTGGGAATGTCAAAAAGTGTCAGAAAGGCAGGATCCTTGCCCCGGAAGGGACCCGAATATCGGAACCACCCGCGCAACACGAGTTTAGGTATGTACACTAGAGGGAGAGGAGAGAGCGAGCGAGAGATAGAGAGAGAGAGAGAACCAAAATAACAAAGGAGAAAGAGAGATGGAGCGCGAGAGGGGGAGAGAGAGCGGGACAACGTGCACCGAAGCCTCCTGTGATTCCGTGAGGGTTTAGGGGAAAGGGTTGCCCTAAAGTCCTTGAAACCTTAAAACCCTTGGACGCTTGAACCCTTGAGCCTTAAATGCTAAATCTTAAGCCTTGTAACCCCTAGCCCCAAAGAGCCTGAACCCTGAAAGCCCTCAATCCCGGTTCCGTGTTTGAGGTACCTTCCTCCAGAAGGTGATCCATGGGATTTCCTTGCCAGGACACAGGACCTAAACCCTAAACCATAATCCCTAAACCCTAAACTTTGAAGTCTTATCTGTCAAGTTTGGGGTTTAGCGATTGGTTTCAGGGTTTGGGCTTCCGTGGACCTTCCCGAAAGGTTATTTTGTCGCAAGCCGCCAGTCCTCCTTCCGTGAGGACGAACTACTGCATTGACTACAAGAACCCGAAGGCCTACTATACCAGCCCTTACATTCATTCTGTGACCCAGTAGCTGAGTGGATACACTTTACACTTTTTGGGATAATATTATCTACTATAAAATTGAAAGTGTACACTTTTCTGCGCTTATGAACTCAGCAACTAAGGTGACCCTCACGAACCTTCGGGGGGGAACGGACTACAATTTTCAACCTGAGGGTAGCTCCCGGAGATTCTCGTTTCGGACTCCACCGGACGTTGGCGTGCCGGGACCCTACAAGTTGGGCGTTTGGGCAGACGTTGGTGTAACGAATGTGAGCTTTGCCGTTATGACGAAGATGTTGCAGTTAGATCCCGACCTTCTGCTCACTGTGGGAGACCTGTCCTACGCTGATGGTTGGGCGGAGCGCTGGGATATTTTCGGCGTGATGATGGAGCCGCTGATGTCTAGCCGCTACCATCTTGCTGTGCCTGGGAACCATGAACTCATTCAGAACAACGGCATCGACCTCATCCATCGTTATCCGATGCCTTTCCGGGAGTCTGGCTCAGGGAGCCCGTTCATGTTTGCCCATGAGAGTGGACCTGTGTTTGTGATCGGAATGGCAGGTAGCTATTCCGAGACAGACACAGGGTCGGCGCAGTGGGTTTTCGTAGAAGAGAAGCTGCGACAAGTGAATCGAGCACGTACACCCTGGGTCATCGTGATGTTCCACACCCCTTGGTACAACAGCAACAACGCCCATTATCTTGAGGGGCGTCTCGGCAGCATCCTGGAGCAATCTTCAAGTGGTAGCCACTCGTAAATTCAATACTTTCTCATCAAGCCGGAGCTCGAACATGTCAAATGCACATGTTCGCGATGAGAGCATGCACATTACCGGCTAAAGCACTGGACCCCGAAACCCTACTTCAGCCCCAAGCCCTGCAAACCCATCTGGGCCCGAAGGATCAAGCATCAGTGGGACATGGAGGAAATGCTGTACAATCATGGGGTTGACGTCGTTTTCAACGGCCACGTCCACAGCTACGAGCGTTCGCACCCCGTCTTCAACTTCTCCAAGGACGAGTGTGGCATCACCCACATTGCTGCATGCTTGCATTTGAACCCTAAACCCTAAACTTTAAACCCTAAGCCCAAACCCCTACGCCCTAATCCCTAAGCCCTTTTGTTGGGACGGCCAGGTGGGTAGTTACCGTTATAGGAGCCTTATAGAAGGTCTATATACCTTTTAGAAGCCTTATAGAAGCCCTATATACCCTAAACTCCCCACCTGTAGTTTCCTTTAACCCTAAACCCTAAACCATAAACCCCTAAACCCCTAAACCCTAAACCCTAAACCCTAAACCCTAAACCCTAAACCCTAAACCCTAAACCCTAAACTCCTAAACCCAAACTCCCCACATGTAGTTTCCTTTAACCCACACCCCTCAACTCTTCTAGTAGAGACTCACAAAGGACCATACGGGTTCGATTCAAAGGTACTTGTAGAGGACCCGAATCCTTCAAACCCCTAAATCCCTAAACCCTAAACCCTAAACCCCTAAACCCCTAAACCCCTAAACCCCTAGACCCCTAAACCCCTAAACCCTAAACCCCGAAAGCCGATAACCCTAACCTCCGAAACCCAAAACCTGCAGCTGCAAACCCTCGAAGCCCCCTAACCCGTTGCAGAAGCCCTTAGAGAAACCCCTTAATAATAGGGTTTAGGGTTTCTGGTTAAGGTTTTAGGGTTTAGGGTTTAGGTTTGTGTAATATAGGGGCCTTAATAATTGGAATGGGGTTTGGGGGTATCTTATACTATGATTGTAAAAATCAACCGCCAAAACCCCATTCTAATATTAAGGCCCCTACATTATGGGAACCCTCTAAAGGAAGCCGGGCTTTAGGCCTTGGGGTTTAGGGGGTCTAGGGTTCAGGGGAGCCCTCTAAAGGAAGCCGGCACCCTAAACCCTAAACCCTTGGAGAAACCCCTAATGGGAGCCTTCTACGGGAAGCCGGCGCCCTAAACCCTAAACCCTTACAGGAAGCTGCACAGAAAAGCTTAAACCCTAAACCCTAAACTCCCGTGGGAACCCTCTAAAGGAAGCCGGCCGGGTTTTGGAGAAAAATCTTGCCTTGCCGAAGGTCGTGGGTGATGCCGGGAACTATGAAGGCACCGTGTTTAGGGTTTAGGGGTCTAGGGTTTAGGGGTTTTGGGTTTAAGGTTTAGCGGTTTAGGGTTTAGGAGTTTAGGGGTTTAGGGGTTAAGGGTTAAGGGTCTATATAGGGTGTAGGGGTTTAGGGGTTTAGGGCTTTAGGGGTTAGGGTTTAGGGGGCTTTCTCTAGGCTGTTGCTTAGGTTTGCTGCCTTAGAGGTTGTGGGCCCTGGGGGTTAGGGTCTGGGGCTTAGGGTTTAGGCTTGGTTAACATGGGGGTCTCGGGATTTAGGGTTTAGGGTTTGGGCGTTTGAGGGTTCCCTTGAAATGGGTTGTCTCTCGAGACACATGCAGGGCAGCAGATCGCGCCAAGTGTTTCTGTTTAAGAGTTATTCCTCAGGGTTCCTTGTTGATACAAAATGCTCTACCTTCAACCCTAAACAAAATACTCTACCTTAAACCCTAAACCCTAAACCTCAAGGCCCTTGTCTTAGCACAGTTTGCTGTCTTCCTATCCGAATTACTTACCTCGAACCACTCGAAACCCGATGTTTGCAGCCGTCGGCTCTGATCGTCATCCTTTATAAAGACGAGGTGACCCTTAAAAGTAGGGGCCCTATACCCTTATACTATGAGTCTCTAAAATTAGAAGTATGGGCCCCTAATATGGACCCTTAGGCCTTCTAGCGGGGATTCTAGGGACCCTTAGGGGTACATATAGGGGATGTAATAGGTATATAAGGATCCCAGGGTTAAGGGCCCATATAACCTCAGAGAATCCCCAACATGAAACTTAAACTCGTTTAGGGTTTAGGGTTTAGGGTTTAGGGTTTAGGGTTTAGGGTTTAGGGTTTAGGGTTCACTTCGTCCTTAAAGATGTATACTTTTTCACATCCGGCGTTTCAGTAAATTCCTAAATCCTGTAACTCTTTGATCCTTTCTTTGATGGAAGAGTCAACGTCAGAGAGTTCTGATGAGACCTCTGAAACTTCGGTTTGGTCGAGCCGGCTCGGAGGTTTCCAGGAGCCTCCGAAGTGGTGGCTGTCATACTTACTGGCCTCCTCGGCGAACGCCACAGCTACGCTGTTGCTGTTTCCTTGGGATTCCCAAAAGCTTCAGAACACCTCATGCTCACCTGCTGACAAGCTCTTCTTTTTGTGCATGATGTTGGCGGCGTTCGGAGCCAGTTGTGTGGCAGCGTTTCTCTACAACAGGATGCGAGCTTCAAATCATGCCAGGTGGGCCTTTGGATATGCAATTGTGAACTGGCTTCAAGCCGTCTTCTGCGGGATATCCTTCCTGAACACAGATGACTGCAACTACGGCGTCATCATATACGGTCACGGTTTGAGACTGTCTTGGATCGTAGCTGTTGATTGCATCCGGACGGTTCTGTACGGCGCTGTCCTGATCTGGATGCAAGTGCTCATCGCTGCACGATTGGATCTTCTGGAGCAGTCCTCAAATCAGGACTATTGCAGCGCCTGCTTTTGGAAAATCATCTGGGTGCAGGTCCTCAAATTCGTGGTTAACGCGCTTTTATCCTGTGCCTTCGCGGCGCAGCGGTTGTCCGCCTCGTTCGTTTATTCTCCGACAGATGTCTTGCCAGCTTCTTTATCTCTGACGTCACTGTTAAGCTGGTTATGCAACATGGTGGCCAGCATGGTAGCCATTCTCGCTCTTACCTACTCTTACCTACAGTTGCGAAGGGTTTTGCATGCTGCCAAGCTTGACGGCGCTTCACTTGCTGTGAGGTCCTCCCTGAGACAGGCCCGAAGACTTGCTGCTGTACAAGTGATAGGTGTGTCGTCCAGCCTCATGTTCACGATCTTGGCATTTGCGGCCCTTTCTATCTCGTTATTTCAACTCAGCACGTCGGGCATGCTACCGTCTGTTCAGGCATACATTCTTGTGTCGATTCAGGCGGTAGACTTCCTGGGGAATGCTGTTGCTGTCTTGTTGCTGTCCGGAAGCCACAGGTTGCCTGCAGACAGCCACTCCGGAGACGTGCAACCCAGCCATGTCGGCCAATGCATGTCTTGCTGCGGGCATGAGTCAGAATCCCTTGAGCCTCATTCAAGCGAGGCTGCCTGGACACCCGAGTGGAGATCTTAAGTTGAGGAGCTTTCACTGCGAGGGATGACCTTGCGCAGCCTGTTAGAGTTCTTTCGGGAACACCTTCGCCGCATGCCAGGGGGATATACACCCAAGGTGCACAGAACCAGAGATGTGGTGCGCCAGGTGATCATTCCCATCACGTTTGAGGAAGAATGTGCATATGCGGCTTCGCGACTAAACAGTGGTGGAGCTCGAAGGGCCGAGATCATGGTGACCCACAACTGGGGTAACAGTTTCAGGGATCTGCTGGCCGCTGTCATCTCGGACGCTCTGCAAGAAAGCAGACTCTAGGCTCTTCTGTGGGTACACATGTTTGTTGCGCTTTTTTGGGGTTGCTAGGATCCCATTATAACAGAACTAACCCCAAACAGGTCTATGCTTGTCTCCGGCGGGTTGCTGAACAGCCGAGGTTTCAATTTGGCAGCAAAGCTGCTGGAGGAAGATGGCGACCGCCTGTGTGAGATGCTGCAAAAGAGCGGTCGCCTGGACGACACCTACTGGATTTGCGCGTTTGCGGTCAACCAGCATACTAGCATATGTCACGAAAACCTTTACGACCGGGACCCCTTTACAAATGAGTTGTACCCGGAATGCAAATGCAAGAGCGTGAACATCCGAGATCCGGGTGGCAGAAGTGCAGCGTCAGAGATCAACAAGTTCGATGACATGATGCATCACCTTGCCGCCACAGGAAGCTGCAGGCAAGTAATTGCAGTTGACCAACATCTTGAGTTGTTTAACCGTGCGTGGTGTGTTGCCGAAATTGCAGAAGCCAGGCGGTTGCGAATGAAGCAATCGCTCAAGCTTGCATCCAAAGCCACGCTCCACCAACGAGCGGGAACATTGAAGAACCTGGACGTTCGGAGCATGCGTGCATCCTCCGACATGGACAAGAAAATCATACTCGACAAGATCAAGAGCAGCACGAAGATCGACAAGTTCAACGAAGAGCTGCAAGCACTGATTTTTGATCCGCGGTCCGGCTTACTGGCATCCTGGAATGCCATGGACAGTTTGCAGCAAATTGGAGAAGTGGGACGACTGATTCGATGGGGCCTTGCTGATGCAGGCACCGGGAAAGTCTGGAAAGCATGGGAGCTCCAAGCATAATATCCCAGACCCCCGGAAGGATCCAGAAAGTAGAACCCCTAATTTGGGACCCTATACTATTAAAGGCTCTTTACAGGGGGGTCTGGGATGGGGCCCAAAATAAGTAGGACAGTCCCCATCATAGTATTGATAATTCTTTAGGCCCTACATAAATTACAAGCCAGATGAAAGCACTCGCCAAAAAGAGACGCGGGCATTCTCCGAAGTTTTTAGGGTTTAGTTCAGAGTTTAGGTTTTAGGGTTTATAGGGTTTAGGGTTTAGGGTTTAGGGTTATGGTTTTAGGATTTGAGGCTCTTGGCGTTTAAGTAAACCCCTGCGGGTCTGGAGTTTAGGGCGTGTGGTGCTGTGCCGCGGCACGTCGCAAGAACCCTAAACCCTAAACCCTATACACCCTAAACCCTAAACCCCCCTAAACCCTAAACCCTAAACCCTAAACCCCCCTAAACCCTAAACCCTAAACCCTAAACCTAAACCCCCCTAAA